CTTGGACGCAAGAGGCGATGGAGTTAAAAGATAAAGAATCACACATAAAGTGGGAGTTGTCACAGTTGCCTTTGCTGAGACACTGTGCTTCTTGGTAGATTTCTGAAGAGAAGTTGCAGAGGTTGGTGGATGAATTTTGGTAGGGTATGCAAAAGAAGAAAATTAAAAGTGAGGGATAAACAAAAAGAATAGTGATGAAAGATTGTATAACAGATGGAGGGAGAAAGTATGGAGGAGGTGAATGTATTCAGAAATTGGAGTGGACATTCACAGATGGGTCTATGAAAGATGAGTGAATCATAGAAATTTTGATGAGCGGACAAAGTGTGATGGTGCACTTAGAGTCTTTAGAAGACAAAAGATCTCATTGTCCTTGGAGGCAAAGAGGCATGTATAAGATATAGTTTTAAAATAAACCAACACTCTTCTATGGGTGGGAAGCATGGGTGATGAATGTGCAGCGAGGAAAGGCTGGAGGGCATGGAGATGTCCAATGTCTGAGGGCAAGCGTGTGGGTAATATAAGGCAAGAATTCGTAAGTTTGGAAGTTAGGAGGTGGTGACAGGATTACCAAAACTGTTGTCCAGAAGGGCTTGAGGAAGGGTTTTGAGTGTCGGAACATGTTAAGAGAATGAGAAAAACAAGCTTGCGACATTCAAATTGTTATCAGTCTTCTATGAGCTGGAAGGAAGGTGGGTAGGGATCCGGCCATAGCGATAAGCATTTGGGGCAAAGAGGGGGGAGGGGGGGGGGGTAAAGGAGGTTTTGTGCTGTTTTTGGTCCGAGGGGTCTTGGACTCCAGCAGGCTGCATGAGCCGTGTTTAGATAGATCGAAATGGAGAAGACGAAATGGGTTTTCTGTAAGTACTGAACGTGCTTGTTGGAGTGTGAGCAAAGTAAATATTTTTATGAAGGGATTCAGGGAAATCCTGCAGGCCGACTGAGTCCCTGGAGATGGGAAGTACAGTGCCTCACTCTGAAGAGAGAGGGTGTCTAATTTTTTAGTGTTCGAAAAACTGTAGTGTAAAGCACCCTTCAGGCACGACAAGTGATGGAGTGAATGATGTGAAAGTTTTTTCTTTTTCTTTTCCGGCCACCCTGCCTTGTGGGAATCACCATTGTTTATTAAAAATATAATAAAATAATAACATAATAATAATGATCAGTTTTTAGACAGTGTAAAAGCAAATGAATTTTAGCTTATCAATTTTTTCATTACATCATTTCCTCTTTCCCTGCCTGTCCTTCCTCTCTGAAAAAATAGGAAAAACACAAGACAATTTACAGTGATGAAATATTTTGCACTAAAACCCAGATTTTATCAATTAAAATAACACCTGCAAATAACAATATTGCCATTGTAGTCCATAAGTTAGGCATAAAGCTGCCCATAATACTCTTACATAACTATGAGCATTCTGCATCCTCACCCAAATGGTCCACTCTTCACTGTACACACATTTGTATCAAGCTGAAAGATATCTTTTTCCTTGCCCTTTTTTCATGGTAAGTATTATGGGGAATTAATATATGTGCATGTACTTGTAGAAAGAAAGATATTATTATTATTATTATTATTATTTTTAGTATTTTTTTTATTAAATCACACTGGGCGATTCCCCCAAGCAGGGTGGCCCGCAAAAAGAAAAACTTTCACCATCTGTCACCCATCACTGTGCTTGCCAGAAGGGTGCTTTACACGACAGTTTTAAATACTGCAACATAAACACCACCCCTCCTTCGAGGCAGGCACTGTACTTCCCATCTCCAGGACTCAAGTCCGGCCTGCCGGTTTCCCATGAAACCCCTTCATAAATGTTACTTTGCTCACACTCCAACAGCACGTCAAGTATTAAAAACCAAGTTGTCTCCTTCACTCCTAATCAAACACGCTCCACGCATGCCTGCTGGAAGTGCAAAAAAAAAACAAAAAGCAAAAAAAGAAGAAAAAAAAAGAAATAAGAAAAAAAACAAGCCCCTACACACAATACCTCCTTTACCCCTCCCTCCAACCTTTCCTAGGCCGACCCCTACCCCGCCTTCCGTCCAAGACAGACTGATACACTCTTGAAGTCATACTTTTCGCTCCATTCGTCCTACATGTCGCAACCAACCTCAACAACCCTTTCTCACCCTCTGGACAACAGTTTTGGTAATACCCGCACCTCCTCCTAACGTCAAACTACAATTTCTCTAGCATAAATCACACCACACATGAGCTTCAGACAACATCGCCACTGCCTCCTGCCTTCCCTCGCTGCAACTTTCATCTCCCTTGCCTTCACTCCCATTAAGAGCGTTGTAAACTATACTCTTCATACTTCCCCTGCTTTGCCTCCAAGCACTAATGTTGCTATCGCCACAGACCCCTAAATGCACCACTCACGCTTTTTCCCCTCATCAATTCTATGATATTCACTCTCATCTTTCATAGACCCATCCGCTGCCCACGTCTCCACTCCAAACTATCTGAAGACATTCACCTTTCTCACTTCTAGCGTCCTGGCCCCCTGGCTGGCCTCCAATCGATAAAAAATATTTTTCAATCTACATCACCTAATCTTTAGCGTTTATCCTCATAACCTTAACGCTTTCCTGTATTCACCTTTAATTTTCTTCTTCTGCACACACCTACCAAATTCATCCACCAATCACTGCAACATCTCTTCAGAATCTCCCAAGAGCACAGTGGCATCAGCAAAGAGGGACACTGTGATAACTCCACTTTGTGTGGATTCTTAATCTTTGTAACTCCACGCCCCCGTGCCAAGACCCTCGCATTTCTCGCTTACTACCCCATCTATATATATATTATACCAACCACGTGACATTACACATCCTTGTCTAAGGCCTAACTTTTACTGAAAATTTCCCTCTTTACTACCTACTCGAACTTGAGCCTCACGTATCCTCGGAAATAACTCTTCACTGCTTCATACCTACCACTACACCTTACACTTGCAACATCTGCCACATGCCCCCCTATCCTCCCGTCATATCCTTCTCAAATCCATAAATGCCCTCAAAACCTCTTTAGCCTTATCTAAATACGGTTTCACTTATAATTTCACTGTAAAACACCTGTCACACACCCACCTACCTTTCCTTAAGCCGCCTTGTTCATCTGCTATCCTATTCGCTGGCCTTACTCTTAGTCCAATAATAACTCTACCAGACACTTTACCAGTAGACTCGGCAGCCTTATCCCCCATAATTTTTGCACTCTCTTTTACCCCCTTGCCCTTTATACAAAGGAACTATGCTATGCTCCTGCCAATCCCCTAGGTACCTTACCCTCTTCCATACATTTATTAAATAATTGCACCAACCACCGCCAAAACTATATCCCAACCTGCTTTTAACATTTCTATCTTTATCCCATCAATCCCGGCGGCCTACCCCCTTTCCATTTTACCTACTGGCCTCACGAACTTCCCCCACATCTCACAACTGGCTCTTCCTCACTCCTACAAAAAACGTTAACCTCCTTGGCCTATACACGAAATCACAGCTTCCCTATATTCATCAACATTAACAAATCCTCAAAATATGCCCTCCTACTTCCCAATACCCTAACTCTCCATTTAATAACTCTCCTCTCCTATTTTTAACTGACAAGTCCATTTGTTCTCAGGCTTCCTTAAACGTGTTACTCCACTTCCAAAACATTTTTTTATTTTCAACAAAATTTGTTGATAACAGCTCACCCACTCCTCATTTGGCGCTCTTTTTACATGGCGTCAACCACTCTCTTAACCTCTCTCTTTTTTCTCCATATACTCTTCTGTCCTTGCATCACTTCTATCTTTGTAAAAACTTCTCATATGCTAACATTTTCTCCCTTACAGCTCTCTTTTACATCATCATTCCACCAATCGCTCCTCGCCTCCCGCACCCCCTTTCCTGTAACCACAAACTTCGGCTGAACACTCTAACACTACATTTTTAAACCTACCCTATAACCTCTTCGACCCCATTGCCTATGCTCTCATTAGCCCATCCTAGCCACCAATAGCTGTTAGATCTTACCCGAACTGCCTCCTCTTTTAGTTTATAAACTCTTCACCTCTCTCTTGCCCTGATGCTTCTATTCACCTGTATCCCATCTTCCTTTACTCTCAGTGGACTACAACGAAGAAATATCTGATATATCTGTGCCCGCGTCTATACACATGTACATCCTGAAGTCTAACTCAACAGTCTTTTATCTACCAATACATAATCCTACAAACTACTGTCCATTCGCCCTACTCAACCTTGTAAAACTTATTTAGGCTCTTTTTCTTAAAATATGTAATTTAACTATAACTAAAACCACACCCCTTTCTAATACAAAGTTCAATCAAAGGGCTCCCATTAATCATTTACACCTGGCACCCCAAACTTACCTAACCACACCCTCTCTAAAAGTGTTCTCCTACTTTAAAGCATTTATTATTATGATTATTATTATTATACTAGGTAGTAGGGTTGGTAACAGCACCACCCAGGGGACAACAACGTCCTGCCAATGAGTGTGAAATGAAAGCCCTGTAATTGTTTTACTTGATGGTAGGATTGCTGTGTCTTTTTTCTGTCTCAGAACATGCAATTCAGTACGTCTTTTCTACTTCTACTTACCTTAGGTCACACTACAACAACATGTACAAAAACATATATATACCTCACCACACCCCTCTTGGTTTTTTCTGCTATTTTCATTCTAGTTCATTTCTTGTTTATTATCCTTTTATCTCCATGGGGTAGTGAAACAGAATTCTCCTCCCTAAGCCATGCCGTATTGTAAGAGCGACTAAATGCCGGGAGCAAAGGCTAGTAACCTCTTCTTCACGTATAAATTACTAAATTTAAAAAGAGGAACTTTCGTTTTTCTTTTTGGCCACCCTGCCTTGGTGGGATGCGGCCAGTTTGTTGAAAAAAAAAATAATTATTAGCATTATTATTGTTGTTTTTTTATTTTTAATAAGTCATGGGTTCTGATATAAAATTTTAAATCGCAGACTGCAGTACCTGGAGGCTGTGATCCACGAAGTTCTTCGCATATCTTCCGTCATTCCAATCAGCCTCAGTCATTGTGTCACAAAAGATATAGAACTTGGAGGTTATGTCTTACCTAAGGTTAGTCTGCAGTCACTTTTGTGCTGTTTACCTGGAGTTTACCTGGAGAGAGTTCCGGGGGTCAACGCCCCCGCGGCCTGGTCTGTGACCAGGCCTCCTGGTGGATCAGAGCCTGATCAACCAGGCTGTTGCTGCTGGCTGCACGCTAACCAACGTACGAGCCACAGCCCGGCTGGTCAGGAACCAACTTTAGGTGCTTGTCCAGTGCCAGCTTGAAGACTGCCAGGGGTCTGTTGGTAATCCCCCTTATGTGTGCTGGGAGGCAGTTGAACAGTCTCGGGCCCCTGACACTTAATGTGTTGTCTCTTAACGTGCTAGTGACACCCCTGCATTTTCTCATTGGGGAGGTGCTCGTCTGCCAAGTCTTTTTGCTTTCCACAAATTAACAAAATATTGTAGACAAGTTTACAGTGGTCCCTGCTTCACTTTTAGATGCTTCACTTTAGAGTGCTTCACTTTAATGGGCTCACTTTAGAGTGCTTTCACTTTAGAGTGCGTCACTTTAGGAGGCTTCCACTTTACAGGGCTTCACTTTAGAGGTTTCACTTTAGAGTGCTTTACTTTACAAGTGCTTCACTTTAGAGGCTTCACATTAGATGCTTCACTTTACAGTGCTTCACTTTAGGTGCTTCACTTTAGGAGCTTCACTTTAGAGTGCTTCACTGTAGAGAGCTTCACTTTTACAGTGCTTCACTTAGAGTGCTTTCACTTTACATGCTTCACTTTTACAGTGCGTCCCTCTTAGAGTCTTTACTTTACAGTCTTCACGTTTAGAGTGGCTTCACTTTGAGAGTGCTTCACTTTACATGCGTCACTTACAAGTGCTTCACGTTACAGTCCTTCAACTTTAACAGTGCTTCACTTTACATGAGTTACTTTACAGGGCTTTCACTTTACAGTGCTTCACTTTACAGTTGCGTCACTTGACATGCCGTCAACTTGACAGGGACTTACTTAGAGTGCTTCACTTGAACAGTGCCTTCCTTATGATGCGTCACTTTAACAGTGATTCACGTTAGAGTGCTTCACTTTATAGTGCTACTTTACAGTGTTTCACTTAGAGTGCATTCAATCACTTTAGCGTGCTTTACTTTACAGTGCTTCACTTTAAACAGTGCTTCACTTAGAGTGTTCACTTTAGAGTGCTCACTTTAGAGTGCTTCACTTTAAGTGCTTCACCTTTAGAAGAGTTTTCACGTTAGAAGTGCTTTTACTTACAGTGCTTCACGTATAGAGTGCTTCACTTTTAGAGTGCTTCACTTTACAGTGCTTTCACTTTTAGAGTGATTCACTTTACATGCTTCACTTTAGAGTGCTTCACTTTACAGTGCTTCTCTGTAGATGCTTCCACTTTACAGTGCGTCACTTTAGATGCTTCCTTTACAGTGCTTTTCACGTTACAGTCTGCTATCACTTTACAGTGATTTAACTTTCAGTGGTTTTTCACGTTACAGTGCGTCACTGTACAGTCTTCACTTCTACAGTGCGTCACTTTACATGCTTCACTTTACAGTGATTTACATTTAGAGTGCTTCACGTTACGTGATTCATTAGAGTGCTTCACTTACAGTGCCTTCACCTTAAGAGTGCTTCACTTTATACAGTGATTCACTTTTCTAGAGTGGCCTTCACTTTAATAAGGCTTCACTTTACAGTGGATTCACTTTAATGCCTTCAACTTTAGTTCTTACTTTACTGTGCTTCCCTTTACAGTGATTAACTTTACAGTGCTTCACTTTACAGTGCTGCATCACTTTACAGTGGATTCACTTTACAGTGGTTCACTTACGTGCTTCACTTTAGAGTGGCTTCACTTACAGTGCTTCACTTTAACACCAGTGGTTTTTCATTTATACTCATCTTCATTTAATCAGACTCTCTACTATAAATATATTCATCATTCACTATAGCGAGGAAAATATTTTAAGGTAAGTATGTCGTGTACTGTATATCATTTTTTAGGCCTTAGTCTAAGTGCTCCTTAACATATAATAGTGGAAACATGTTATCCTAGGCTTTTATTGCATTTGAAAAGTGAAATTGGATTGCTTACACCCTTTCAGGTTGCGGTCGGCCGGACTAGTACGCTTACGCAACCCAGGGTCCAGACATAACTATATACTCATAAATTCTAGCTCCGTCAAATCTAGTGAGGAGATACTGGTAGGCCTACATAGAAAGAATTGAGGGTATAATGTGGTCATGGGCACAGTAAATAAAAAAAGTCCTACAGTACCAGGGGCGCATAATGAGAAAAAAAAAACTTTGACATGTTTTTGAGATTAAAAAAAACAGCGACTTTGCACTATATTTTCGAGTACGGTAGTTCCTTGATGTATTCTAGTTTTCCCCTGTCTCGTGTATAGAAGGAAAGACATATACAGAAATTCGAGATGATTGTGACTGGTTATTACAATGAGAAGTACCTTGAAATTGGCTCAAAATAGCAGAAATGTTCGAGTTTTTTACCAAAGTTCAAAAAGTAAACAAATCATGCAAGCGTCCAATACACGTCAACTGGTGAGTCTAATATTCTTTCACAGTGCGCCCGAATTAGTTGATACTATTTCTACACTAAATGCAGTAATCTGCATTAACAAGCAAATCTTCTATTTTTTGTAAGATAACTCTGGTCAGATCACTGACCGTGATAAGAATATGTGTGAAATTCTAAATCCCTACTTCCTCTCAGTTTTCACCCAGGAAAAATACTAGCATATCCTGGAAATAAGATATTATGTAAACAGATGATGATAAACTAGTACTGATTGCAGTGACTAGTGACTATGGTCCTCAGACAAATAGAGTAACTAAAACCACAAATCCCCAGGTCCCTATGAACTGTTTGCAAGGGTGTTTAAAGGAATGTAAAGAGGAACTTACATACCTTTGGCTAATCTTATTATTTTTTTAAACATGTCCACTACATACTCTGGCAATAGTGCCTGATAAGTGGTCAAATGGGCAAATGGTATAACCTATTACAAGCAGGTGATTGTCCTTTGGTTCGAACTATAGACCAAAAAGCCTTACCTCCATAGTGGGAAAATTATGGAATCAATAATTGCAAAAGCAATTCGAGCCAACTTGACAAGGCACAGATTGCTTAATGAATCTCAACACACGGTGTTACAAAGGGGTTTCCTGTCCTTTAAGAATTTTGCAAACTTTGTTCAGCTAAGGGTTTGAGGAGTAGATCATGGTAATGAATATGATATTGTGTATAATGGACTTCAGTAAGCTTTCGAAGAGAGTTCCACACCAGAGCTATTGAGGAAACTTAGGCACACCGGAATCGACGAGAAATTTTTTCCTGGGTAGGCATGGCGAACAAATAAGACAGCAGAGAGTTTGCATATATTGGGGAGAAATGGATGGGGCACGTCCCCCCCCCCCCGCCCACTAGCGTTAGTTCCTCAGGGTTCTGTGTTGGGCCTGTTGTTGTTCACAATTTACATAAATGACATAGAGAGGGTGGCCTGAAAAAAGAAAAACTTTCACCCATCATTCTCTTCCATCACTGTCTTGCCAGAAGGGTCTTTACACGACAGTTTTTAAAACTGCAACATTAACACCCCACCTTCAGGAGAGTAGGCACTGTACTTCCCATCTCCAGGCTCAAGTCTGGCGCTGCCGATTTCCCTGAACTCCCCTTAATAAATGTTGACTTTGCTCACACTAACTCCAAAACAGCACGCTCACCAGTATAAAAAGCCTTTGTCCCTCCACATTCACTCCTACAAACACACTCATGCATCAGCCTGCCTGTTCGAGAAGTCCAGCCCCTTATCATGTTGGGGTTCCGAACACGTGGAGAGGGTAAAGAAATACTCACAGTACCTGGAATACGATATTACGGGATAATGAGGAACGCCAAACAGCCGTGACCTCCTCCTTGCTCTGCCTCTCGTAAGACTAACCTAACCCCAGTACCCATATGTTGAGGGGGTGTTTGAAATACCGCTGTGGTCCACAATATGAATACAGACGTGATTCACGCAGTGGACGGTTGGTAGTGAGTCATCTACTGGGACAACACTGGTTACTGGAACGGGTACTACGACGGAAGCTCGGCGACGCTAACGTATGTCGGCCCGACATACAACTAATAACGAACTAGAGATGGCAGGGCATACGGCTTTGGGCTGATTCTATACAATTCAAAGTACACAAAATTAAACATTATAACATACATAAGTAAGAACATTGGAATGAAGCGTACATATAACTGAAACTGTAAGCAATAACAAGGTATAAATAGCACACAACTCATTGAATGAAACTCATCAAATGAACATCCGAATGAAACTCAACGGTGAGTACACAATAGAAGTGATAAATAAAAAAATTTGTTCGATCGATCTGTATTCATGTGATCTAAACGGATTCTGAGAAGGCATATAACAAAGAAAGAATGTTTAACAGAAAGGCAGATTCGGTGCACACAATCAGACGTTAACTCTCAGAATCGGGAGAACTGAAACACAAAAAAAAAAGATTCTTGAATATGAAATAAGTTGAGACTGTAATTCGTCCTCTATACATGTTATTACATTTAACCACAACTACTGCTAGGGAGAGATTGACATATGCAGAATGGTGTCATCTCTGGGAGGAGCAAACTCTGTAGCACTGTTAACTCATGCCTGTAGTTGAGGCTAGTCTGAATTGGTAGTTACAAATGATACTTGAGGATTTCTCAATACCTGTCGTGTACGTAGGAATAACGACATTCAGTTTGATCGTCTGACTGAGTATCAAGGCGAAAGAGTACAGATCAGGAGATTGTCAGAATCTGTCCACATTAGTCTGAGTTGGAACAGCATTACATCACATACTAACTCATATGATCTAAATTTATGCCCGATCTTTACCCCAATATCTCTCTGACCATACTAATTTCTCTAACCCTTATACGTATTCTACCAGTGATACTGTTCAAACTACTATACATCGATATGGACCAAACCAAACCTTTTGATCAGCTTTGCATTGCAACG